GTTCAGGAAGTGCTGGATGATGGAAAGGAAGAGGGAAGAAAAGGAGCCCACAATCCTTTCCTAACAACTTTTTTTTTCTTTTTTCTGGGAGTTCATCTTATTCTCTGATCCTCTCTTCTTGCTGTGAGGTCTATTTTCTCTTGGAGAGATTTCAGTTGCACTGAACCACTTTGTGTGTGTGTGTGTGTGTGTGTGTACACACGCACACTAGTACTGAGGCTTGAACTCAGGGCCTGGGCAGTGTACTTTGGTTAGCATTCTACCACTGAGCCATGCCACTACTTTCAGCTTTTTGCTGATTAATTGGGGATGGGTATCAAACTTGGCTGCGCAGGCTGGCTTCAAACTGTGATCCTCAGATCTCAGCCTCCTTCTAGCTAGAATTGCAGGCGTGAGTCACTGACACCCTGCCCCAGTTTGAATCACAAGCTTTTTTCTGGAAATTCAGATGTTCATTTAACATGCCGGGGTCAGTCGGCCCTGCCCTGTCATCCTACCAAACCTACCCTCAGAGCCGACTCCTGCCTGTAATCTCTTCAAAACATATCCTTCCCTGCTAGAACCTTCCTCTAACCCCTTGGGCCTGCACACATACCCAGACATTGCAGATGGGACAAAAGTCCTAATCCCATGCAGATTAGGACTGGCATCTGTTCTGTCACTTGAGAGCTTTAAGCCATAGCAGGCCACACATTTGCTCACAACTCTAAATTTGAGCAGTCTTCAGATGGATTTGTTCTACTTTCTTGATGGTGGGCTGGAGTGTGGAAGCTCCAGGGGGTGTCTGCTCACCTCTTACACAACTGGTAAATGCTATGTTTTCTTTTTCTCCTCCTTTTCTCCATGATCTATTTTTAACACTTTCTTTCGTCCAAGGCCAGGTGTTGCAATCTCTTGCATGATCCCCAATGACTTCACTTGCATGTCTGGGGCCTTGGCTTGGGGCAGTGGAAACAGTAAGGAATCCCTTCCCCCTACCTTTCCTTCTCTCATGCCAGTAGGTAATTGAGCTTCCTTATAGCATGGCAGTTGCCTTCCAAAAGGCAAAATTAGACAGTCTGCTAAGGACCAGGCCTGAAAGTCTCAAAATCTATCTTCTGCCACATTCTTCATGTCTCAAGGCCAACTCAGATTCCCAAAGGAAGGGAAATGAGGGAAGGGGCCGTATGGGAGTGCAGGGACAGGAAGAGCTGTTGGCAGCCATATTTGCACCCAGGTCACCAGAATGGTTCTAACACATGAATACAGATCCAGAATCACCTCATTCTGTATGTATCCATCCACTCACCTTCCCCACAGGAGGAGCTGCGGGAAGGAGGCAAGATGGCAGGCAGGTTCCCTGGAGAAGCAGAGACTCTAAAGGCCTTTGAAGGCTGTGACCAAGGTACTCTTTAGAAAAGGGAAAGGTTCTCAGGCTTGGCAGAGCAGAACTGACAGCGGGGAAGACCTTGGCCTTGATCAGGTCTTCTCTGACTCTTGAGGGATCCTTGAGGTGGCGCCCAGTGGTGTCTGCACAGCTCTGAGACAACTGCAGGATGTGGTATTTTTATTTCCTTTTCTCCATGGTCTATTTCAAGACTTTCTCTTGTCCAAGGCCACGTGTTGCAGTCTCCTGCGTGCTTAGATTTCCGATCTCCCACTTCGGAGCCCCAGCCGGAGGAGACATCTCTTGCCTTTGCTTTGCCTTTGCATTCATAGGGAAGTTGGATTTTAGCCCTGGTTTGGCCACCGCTACATCCTCCCCCTGTCCCACTTTTCTTCTGCCTGTTTGTATTCAGTCTAGACGATTCCTTTTTATTTGCTGATGTCCTGCCCTAGCCTCAGGCAGCTGTGGTGTGGTGGGAAGAGCACTGGAATTGGAGTCAGGAAAGCTGGTTTAAACTCTCACCAGACTATTTACTAATGGTGAGTCAATTCAGACAAGCTACTTACCTTCTCTGGGCCTCCTGCTTTCTATTGGCTAAGTGACAATAATGAGCTCCATCTCCAGGGTGGCTACAGCATCTGGCACTAACCAAGAGGTCTCTGATCCCCACCCCACTTTCTGGCTGGCTGCATTCACTTTCTCTAGTCAGCCTTGCTCAGATCCTCACCTACCCAGCCCACTACCAACCTCTCCTGACATGGCGACGAACATCCCCTTCCACCGCTGTAGCCTTGGGATAAAATTTGTTCTGTTGGCTTTAAAAGGTGGGGGCAGGGGGAGGAGGCAGTACATTTTAGACTCACATTGTCCAAGATGGTTGTCACTAACTATGCACAACTGATCAACCACAACTGATATGTGTGATTCAAACAAAATGTGCATCAGACTTGCAGATACCTCCAAAAGTGCACAATCTCTCAATCATTTTGATTAAATATTGATTAAATATTGAAACTATTTTAGATATGTTAAGGTTACATAAAATATATTGGTAACATTGATCTTGTTTCTTATATCTTTTCGATTCTGGCTCATGGAAAGCTTTGAAGACATACATATGGATGGGTTGGGTGTGTGGTAAAGTACTAGGAGTATCAGCCCAAAAGGTGCCAAGCCTTGGGTTTAAACCCTAGCACCAAAACAGATAAGTAAGTTACAGATGTGGCCAGCATACTATTTCTATGGGCCAGCGCCATCCTAGAGTGTGTGACCAGGCCTCATGTACTATGGAGAAGCAGCAGTCATGAAAGAGGAGGAACATATGCCCGGCTGAGTGACTCACACCTATAATCCTAGCTACTCAAGAAGCGGAGATCTAAGGTTCAAAGTCAGCCTGGGCAGACAAATCTAAGATTCTTATCTCCAAGTACCCAGCAAAAAGCTGGAAGTGGAGCTGTGGCTTGAGTGGTAGAGCACCAGCTGTGAGTAAAAAAGCTGAGAGCAAAAGACCCTGAATGCAAACTCTAGAACAAGGAGAGAAGGGAAGGGAAGGGAAAAGGAAAAGGAAAAAGGAAAAAAAGGGAAAAGGGAAGGGAAGGGAGAGGAGAGGAGAGGAGAGGAGAGGAGAGGGGAGGGGAGGGGAGGGGAGGGGAGGGGAAGGGGAAGGGAGGGGAAGGGGAAGGGAGGGGAGGGGAAAGGGAAGGGGAAGGGGAAGGGAAGGGAAGGGAAGGAAAGGAAAGGAAAGGAAAAGAAAGGAAAGGAAAGGGGAAAGATGGAAGAAAGGAAAGAGGGAAGGAAGGAAGGAAGGAAGGAAAGAGGGAAGGAAGGAAGGAAGGAAGGAAGGAAGGAAGGAAGGAAGGAAGGAAGGAAGGAAGGAAGGGTGGGTCCTAGGGCAGAATGAGGTCAATAGTCAGGGAACAAGAAGGAGATAAGACTTATGAGACAATGTGCCCGAAGGGAGACGGCAAAAGTCCTGGAGAGTGACCCTGCCGGGACCCTCCCTACTGAGGTTGATGAAGAGAAGCCAGTGTGGTGAGCAACGTAGGTGCATCAGAATCCACTGAGCAGTTAGGAGGCAGACAGCTGGATGGTACAGGGCCTTTTAAGACAACTCCCCCGCCCCCCACCCCAAGTAAAATAGAATCTCTGGAGGGTTTTCAGCCAGTGACATGACTCGGCCCCTATCTGAAAGGACTCCTTCTGGCTATGATGGAAGTCCCAGGAGGCAGGTTAGCCATGCCAGCCACAATCCAGGTAAGCAGGCAAGAACACTTCCCTCACTGAGTGCTTTGTGAATTCTACCTCAACCCACATGGGAGTCAAGAGAGATGGAGAAAAGAGCAGGGAGCATACACTAGACCAGAGCTCCTGGAGGGCAAAGCCTGACCTTCTGACCTACCAATGGGCCAGTCTGCCACACTGCCAGATACCCATATTGCCTTGCCACCCATACGTAGCATTCACTCTTCAGCACCTCTGCCTCACCCCTGATTTGCCACCCATGTCTTCTTTACAGAGCAGCCTGGAAATCATGAGACACCTCCCACCCCCCAAAGCTAGGTCTGATGCCTCCAGCACATTTGAGACATTGTGTGTGTGTGTGTGTGTGCGTGCGTGCGTGCGTGTGTATGATCTGTCGCAATGCACACGCATGCACATGCTGGTCCTGGGCCTTTTACTCAGGGCCTGGGCACTGTCCTTGAGCTTCTTTTGCTCAAAGCTAGCGCTCTACCACCTGAATCACAGCTCCACTTTAAGGTTTTTTTGGGGGAAGGGGGTGGTGCTCAATTGGAGATAAGAGTTCTCACAAACTTTCTTTTCTAGGCTGGCTTCCCACTGAGATCCTCAAGATCCCAGCCTCTGAAGTAGCCAGGATGACAGGCATGAGCCAGCAGCACTGGCATTGAAGCATTTTTTTCCACTCATAAACTTATACTTCTGTATCTCTCACCCCCTCAACCTCTCCAGATCTTTCGGGGGTCAAATCACTTTATTCTAAAAGAACAGCCTAGGCTATACAGCACAGTGACTAGCCCTACTTATGGTTGAAAGAATGACAGATGAGAGGAAGTAGATTTGACCCATTGCTCAGCATGCCCAAGACCCAACAAGGTCCACTCCCCCCAGGCCCAGCACAGCAAGATCTACAGCAAGACAGAGCCGGGGCCCCATCCAGAACAAGCAGAGCTGTGGTTCCAGGAACTCAACATGCAGAAATTAAAACCAAGTGCACCCTAGGGTCTCAGCACCCTAGCAGAACCCTTTCCCATTGCCCAGCTGGTTACAGCAGGTAAGACCTAAACATTGCCCAGCTGGCTACAGGAGGTAAGACCAAACCAAAACCCACTCAGGGAAGGCCAGCAGAAACAGGGCCAGATCCTTCCTCCACAAGGGCCGGGCCCCTTGATCTGTTGCAACTACTGCTTGGTCCTTTGGCTAAAGCAACAAGTCCCTTCCACTCATCCCCCAGTGCTCCCATCTCTTAGATCGAGCTAGAAATGGACCCGTACCCCTAGGCCCAACCTGAACAGGATGGTAAGGCTCTGGCCAGAGCAGAAGACAGAAGGGGTGCCCACAACTACACACCGGGGACCTTTGCACATTCAATGGAGAAAGACCAGGAGGAGTTCTGAGATCAGAATTAAAATCTTTAATACAAAATGCTTTTTTTTTTTAAGATATATCTGTATTTCTTTGTTGTTGTTTAAAAATAAATATGTACTACGGAATATCTCGAAAAACTGCACTAGAGACAAAGACGTGATGTTAATATCTTTTCCCCCCAACAATTATTACGGATAAACAGTAGCACCAATAAATAAATGATAACAAATATTAAAATTAAAAAAGGAGAGAGATTTAGTATGTAGGATTCTCTATTTTTCTTGTTTTGTTTTTACATATAAAAAACAGAATAGCAATGTCTATTTTATCAGAATCACATATATACATAAACATATATATATATATATATTTATATACAAACACAAGTTGCCAAATATATATATAGTATGTAAATGTATATTGAAACCTTATTTCGAAGGAATGTGTGGTGAGCAGCTGGGGAAAGGAAGGGCAGAGCTGAGTGTTAGCAGTATTAAATGTCTGCCCAGAGTAAGCTAGTAACTTTCACCGATCAGGCAGAGACAGACTAGAAACGCGAATTTCATACACACAAACTGGTACAAACAAAGAGAGCGCGCGCGCGCGAGAGAGAGAGAGAGAGAGAGAGAGAGAGAGAGAGAGAGAGAGGAAGAGAAAGAGAGAGAACAAGAAAAAGCAAGAGATACATCTTATAAATAGTTGAAATTAAATATTAACCAAGAATACTGAAAAAAACCCTACTCTTTAATTAAATTAACTGTTTTTAATTTCTAATTAAAAAGATATATTAAATAAGTACCGCATATAAAACACTTTGTCTCTTTTCTCTGCCTCCGCAGATGGGCAGGCGGGCCTGGCCATCTTCTCTGTGCTTCGGGAAGGAGTGGGGAGAGGAGAGGGAGGGCTACCCACTCACCCACTCACCCACTCACACACTCACCCACTCACACACACACACACACAGCCAGGTCTCCTGGGGACAGAACTAGTGGTTTCAACGGTCTGAGGACATGAAGGCCACCTGGACAGCAGTCTGGGAAGCAGGCAGGGGAGGAGGTTGGGTCTGGGGAAGAGTGACCATCACAGGCTGCTTCTTCCACCAGTCTGTTCTCTTCGCCAGGACGCCTGTCGGGCGGCGATGAGAACAGAAAAGGCTGCCCAGACGCCAGGCTCTTCTGAGCAGTGCCCCTGGGGCGGGGGGAGGGGGAGAGGGGGTGAAGATGGGGGACAGGGTGCCCTTGCAGCATGTGGCAGGTATCCACAAAGCACGCCATTCTCCTGAGGCTCCCCCAAAGTCCTGGGGTGAGCCAGCATCCTTGTCCCTGCTCTCTGCCATCTGTCTTTCTGTCCTGATTGCCTTGGGGTAGAGGCTCAGGCCCAGGGTTGGGTTTGTCGATGTTCCTGGAAGTTGCCCCCAGACCCTGGCCTTTGCGCATCCATTCCCAAGGAGAAGAGAGGGCCGCCGCCTCCCTCAGAGGGACAGAAGATCGCTCCAGAGTTGCTCCTTCCGTCCTGACCCATCACGACGTGGGATCGCCTCCCGTCTCAAGTCCACAGCAGTCAAAATACATCCAGTGAAGACACCAATAACATTAGCAAAGTTAACTTAAAAAAGAATATATATATTTTATATATATATAAAATATATATATTTACTTTTATATATAATATATATATATATAAATGTATGGGTGTGGGGTGGGTATGTCTACAGGAATCCCAGAAATAAAACTCTCTCTAATCTTCCAGGCTCGGTGATTTAAGCAGCAAGAAAAAAAAAAAAACAATGAAATGACAAAAATCCAATCCAAGAGGGACCGAGCTGGGTCCCGGCCCAGGGAACGCATCTTGCCCTTGGGACCCAGAGTGCTCTGCGCAGTGTCCTCTTCCTTCATTTTGTTTAGGTTTCTGGATTAAGGACTGTTCTGTCCGTGGTGACTGGTGACGGGTGTGGTGGTGGTGGTGGTGGTGGTGGTGTGGTTAGTCGTTCTGGATCAATCTTTCCTGGTGAGAGGTCTGGTTCCCGAAACCCTGAGGGAGGCTTCCTTCCTTCCCACAGCCTGGCTCACCGCCTCGGCTTGTCACACCTGGGACACACAGCAAAGGACAGGGTTAGGGCTGGGAGGACAGGCCTGCGCTGCAGGAGTGGAGGACAAGAAAGATGAGGTTGCCCAACAGAAGCCCCAGTGGGAGGGAGAGGCCCCGCCTGGCCCTGGGGAGCCCTGTGGAAGCAGCAGCTCTGCTCAGGGACCCCCTGCCACTCCCATGCCCACTGGAGTTTTGCGGCCCACGTGAAACAGTACAGACATGGAAACACCTCACAAAGCAACGAGTGGACAGGTACTGAGGAACGGCGTTATCCCTAATAGGGCTGGACATGGTTAGAGGGGAGACCTGCAGTTTTGTCAGCTCAGGTTTTAGGGACAGACTTGGGGAACAGTGAGTGTGGAGGGGTGTGGTGGCCAGCGAGGGGAGCTGCCCAGGGGACAGGAGGAGGGGATTTGGAGAGGTGTGGGGCGCTAGGAAGGAGAGAGACCATCTCTTCCCTGTGGAGCTGGTCGGGCTTGAGCTGCCTGGGAAGTGGCAGGCCCCGCAGGCCCCTGGCCTACGGGTAAACTTGGGCTGGGGACACAAGTCATGGCATCAGTCAACCTCCAAGAACGTTCTCGCGAGTTCCCATCCCTAGCTGACTCTGTGTTCCCCTCCCTGCTACTGAGGAAGGGAGTCCTGGTTTGGAGTCCCAGGAACTGAAATTCCCAAGCCCAGCTGGAGTCAGCTCACACAACCAGAAAGCCCTTAAATGTCAAGACCTTGCTTTCTCCCCACCAGAGAGACCCACCGGGCACACATCATCCAGACACCGATCCAGGCGTCTGAAGACTACCGGCTGCTGTGCGTTCAGCCACGCACCTTTGCAGTTAGTGGCGGTAGTGGGTACAGCCTCTCCCTCCAACCACTAGGGGGGACACCTGGAAAGGTGGAGGCCATGCAGATTGACATTGTGGTGCAGGATAAAGGAATCTGGTATCTCAGATGCCAAGTCATCTACAATGGGCAGAAGAACAGTAAAGACCTGTTCAGGGAGCCCCAGTCTAAGGGGACACGGCCTGTCCTCAGGGAGAAGCCTCCAGGGTACAAGGCCCACGTCAGAGGCAGTGCTGAAGTCAAGAACGCTTCCTCATTGCAGACATCCACCTGGAAGGACTGTTTCTCAGCATGAGCATGGGAGACAGTACAACCACATCGGCAACAGCCACGAACAGCAGGACCACAGGACAGCTGGCGTCCACACCACTGGACTACCCACTCAGACAGCCAGGGCCACCTCGGAGCAGCCCTGCCAGAACAGGGCCCGCACACCCCCAGTGCTTCAGGAGCAGCGAAGACGGCAGCCACCAGGCAGGGACAGCAGCTAGAAGCCGAGCAAGCAGCTGGCCCCTCAACAGGCATGCTCTGTGTATGGTCTCTCTCTCTCTCTCTCTCGCTCTCTCTCTCGCTCACGCTCTTTCTCTCATCCCATGTCTTCAATGTGCCTTTCTGACTCGCTCGCCCTCTGGGAACCAACCTGCAAGTACGTTCGTTTAACTCAAGCTGCCTCGCCTTGCAACGCGAGTCTGTGTTTTTGCAGGAACATTTACACGTCTGCGGATCTTGTACAAACAAATGCTTTCTCCGCTCTGAGCAAGGCCCACAGGGACTGCAAAAAGGCAAAAGGAAAGACATCTAAGCTAGAGCATCAGCAGAGAGAGAGAAGAAAAAAAAACCCCATGCAACACCCCTGCCATGTCCACTGTGGCCCCCCACACCCTCTCTGGGCGGCCCCCACACCCTTCCACGCCCTGGGAGGATCAGAGCGCTGCAGCAGAGGAAGAGAGAGTGCGAAAAGAGGCGGCACTGGCCAGGACGCCTGTCTACAGGAAGAGGAGGGCGCAGGCGGGCAGAGAGTACAGGAGAGGGCTGCCGGGAGGGGCGGTGCTATGCCCTGAAGGACATGGGGCACGTGTGCTCATGTCCACTTGACATCAGGCCCCAGCGGCTGCTGCTGCCCTTGAAAGACCACACTTTGCACTCTTCACCTGGGGGGGGACATGAGATCTCCCCGGGGAAAAACGGAAGCCCCGGCCCTTCTACCACACGAGGGCCCACAGAGGGCATGATGGGAAGGCAATCCGGGCACTTTGGCCAGCAACCAGGCCACTGGGACTACAGGGCCCAAACACAAAAGACACGGCATCCATACAGGGAGACACTGTGGGCACCTTGCGTGGGGCTGGAGTAGGGTGAGTCAGCCTCCAGCAGGCCAGAAGCACTGAGAAACCAGGGCCCTGGAGTCAGAACAAGAGGGGCAGCCATGCCTTGCTTGCCGCCCCCCCAAGCTCCGCCTCCTGCAGGCCCCGCCCTTCCCCAGCCGCCATCACACCCCCTCCTCACACCAGGTCTGCACGCCCTTCGGCTCTCAGCTTCCAGAAAGCACAGAAGCCCAGAGCAGAGGAAGCCTGCTGGGTGAGCGGCCCCAATGCCCAGCACCCATGCCAACATGGGCCCGCCACCAGCACCCAGTGGGTGAGAGAAAGTTGGTGCCCAGCCAAAGCACCCTCCCTGAGTCTTCCAGGCCCAGGTCACCCCCCCCCCCCCCGCAACTCCCACCATGCCCTGGGTGTTAACCCTGGACCAGCAACACCACGGAGTCTCCCCATTGGTGCTCATTAGTGGAGTGAGTGAGAGAGAGACACTGAGGCGAGGAGGGAAGGGCAAGAGCTGGGGCAGGCCACAGGAGGGAGGGAGGGAGGGTTACGGGGAGCTGCAGGCAGGGGGTTTGACTGGGGGCCAGGGAGACCCCCGGACATTAGACAGCAGAGCGCGGGCACCAACGTACACGCTCCAGCATTTATACCGGGATTTCTTGCGCTTTCGTTTTTGCCCCTTTCCCTTTCCTCGGACTGATTTTCTGGAAAATAAAATAACAGAGACAGACAGAGAGAGAACAAGCAGGGATAGGAGAGCAAAAGAAGCCCTGTGGGGGCAGGACGCAGGCCGAGCCCTGGAGCAGGCAGCAGGTGGGCACTCATGCACCCCGTAGCTCCGCCTCCTCCTGTTGCCCAGCCTGCTGGCATGCTCTGGGTGGGAAGCAGAGACTGTGCAGGGCACAGGACCAAAGGGCCTCTACGCACATGGGGCTCTCCACTCTGGCAAGGTACAAAGCCCCTCTGGAAGGCTCTCTGCTCAGCAGGCCTGTGGCCCTGAAGGCCAAGAGGCCATGAAAGGTAGACACTGAGGTCAGATTCCTGGTCTGATGGAGCAGAGGGGGACAGGCTATGCTTCAAGTACCTTCCAAGGACAACAGCAAGGGATCCCTGCAGAGGCCCTGCCTCGGGGGCCCCAGGGGGGGGGGGAGCTGGCACAAAACCCAGGGCAGGACATGAAAAGACCCAGGTCTGCCCAGCCCTAACCTGCAGGGGCTGGCTAACTCAGAGCCCCGAGAGGGGTGGCCTGGTTAGGGGAAGGGAAGGAGGCCAGGGACCCCTGGGGCACTGAGAAGCCAGTTCTCTGTGCAGCCTGTCTGAGCCCAGGCAGAGCCCCTGGGTTTCTCTAAGGGCAAAGCAGGCATTAAGGGGCATAGATAAGGGGGACAGGATGTAGCCTGCGCCTCTCCAGGGAATCCGCACTCTCCGAGCTTGCCAGGCCCCAGAGAGCACTCCTCAGCATGTCTGTCACAGGGAGGAGGAAGAGGAGAAGGGTCCTGGGCGGAGGTGAGTCTGTCCCCTGTAGGAAAATGTACTGGAAGGATGGAAGGAAGCGGGCCTCTGCTTGCATGCTGGCTTGTTTGCTTGCATGCGCTCGCGTGCTCTCTCTCTTTCTGTCTCTGTCTCTCTCTGTCTCTGTCTCTCTCTCTCTCTGCCTCTCTCTCTCTCTCTCTCTCTCTCATCGAGACTATTTTCCCAGACCACTGCTCTGTCCTGTCCCAGAGGCTGGAAGGAGCAGCAGGGTTGAGACTTAGGGACTTCACAGGGCACATCAGACAGGAAGAGGAAGGGGAAAGGCATGGGTACTCTCTCTCTCAGCCTCTCCTTCTCTGGAAACCAACCTCACCAGTGTCCCCTGCCTGTCCTGTCCTGACCCAACCTTCCACACGGAGCAACCGGAAGCCAAAAGCCAGGGCCAACACTGCTACTTTGCCTCCATAGCAGACAGGGCTGGGTGTCTGCTGCTCTAGGAACCACGCACCAAGAAACCCGGTGCCGCCCCAAACCCAACTGCGCCGCCATATTCGCCATCCAAACAGGTCACTTGTCCCGACACACCAAAGCTGGCTTCTCTGATGCCCACTCCCTCTCCTCCAGAGCCAGGGGAGCTGGCGCTCACACTGTCCGCCCAGCACACAGGGAATCAACAGCACCTCAGTGCTGCAAGGCAGCAATACTGTCGAGGAAGCCCCAGGCTCCAGGCTGGATTTCTTCACTACACCTGGAGCCCGGAAGCCGGAAACTGACTCTGTCCCACAGCTGCCACCACAATCCGATCCCCAACCAGACCAACTCAGTGACCCCAGGAGGCCATCAGAGCCCGGGGCAGAGGAAGCCAAAAGCAGCAAACCAAGACAACTTGGCCAAGGGGAAGGAGAAGTATGAATGTCATGGCCACTTACTTTTCCGGCCTTGCTCTATCTTTCTTTGGTCTGCATTGGGTAGAGAAGGAGAGAGAGAAAGAAAAGAATTAAGGTGGTTTTGATAATTACAAGGATAGTAACGATAATAATAATATTAGCAATAAAATCTGGACATAGTGTTTTGTTGTTTCATTTGTTTTTTGTTTTTTGCCAGTCCTGGGGCTTGAACTCAGGGCTTGGGCACTGTCCTGAGCTTCTTTTGCTCAAGGCTAGCACTCTACCACTTGAGCCACAGTGCCACTTGTGGCTTTTTCTATGTATGTGGTACTGAGGAATCAAACGGAAGGCTTCATGCATGCTAGACAAGCACTCTACCACTGAGCCACCTTCCAAGACTGAAACATTGTTTTAATCCCTTGAGCAGCTAAACAACTCGTAACAAAATTACGAGGTACATGCAACTATTGTACCCATTTTCTAGATGTGGACAACATGCTTAACCCTTGCACAGAGCACAGCTGTTGGTGGTCTGCTGGATAAATGATGAATGGGTGTGTGGGTGAGTGATCCGGTCCTCACCTGCATTCACATTTGCTGTGCTGTAAGAAGCTCATCTCTCCTATGTGCTGGCCTTGGTGAGGTTTGATCCGCATGATCTGCAGGGGAGGGAAGCAGATCACACAGGTTAGTGACCCAGCCAGCCAGACCCAGATGGGATACCCCTGGGCTCCTGCCGCTTAGCCCTCAGGGGTTCTACAGAGCAAGGTGGGCTGTGGAGGCAGGGCGGCCAGGGCTCTAGCAGGAAGGAGCCTCAGGCCACCCCAACTCCACCAGCCCAGCTGGCCTCAGGGAGCCTCGGCTCCTCTGAAGGAAAGAGATGGCTACAGGTTGGCCAGGCTGGGAATTCAGGTCCTGGATTTTCACCGTTCTCCATCCCCACTCCTCCTTTCTCCCCGCCCCACCCCCCTAAGGCCTCACCCTGAACCTAGCAGCAGCTACCCAAAGGCCACCCACCCCTATGTCTTACAGCTCTCACCCACTCTCCACCCTGTCTAGGCTGAGACACACAGCACCACACAGCACCCAGTGATGGGCTTTCAGCTCTTCATGGACCAGGCTCATCCAGCATCCCAAACCGAATCCCACCCCCCCGCAGAGAGAGCCTGCAGACTCTCTCCAAGGGACGAAGAGAAGGAAGAGCTCTGGTTGCAAGCATCAGCCTCTCCTGAGCCCAGGAGGCAAAGATCGGGGAGGCGGAGGTAATAGTCCATGACTGGGGAACACGGCAGAGTCTTCTTTCCCGAGTAGGCAAGACCCCGCCTCATTCTTCTCCACCCTGGCCCCCGACTCAGAGGCAGGAGCTGGGCCAGGCTCCAACTACCAAGAGCTTCTGAGGAAGAGGAAGGGGCCCAGACCACCTCTCCCAAAGTCTGACATCCCTCCCTGTGCCCCATCCCCGACCCCAGTCCCGCAGGCGCCCACCTGCATGGTGATGTTAGACTCCTCCGTGGGCACACACTCCAGAGCCTCGTCATTGCAGCAGCCCCCACAGCGCATCAGGGGCACACAGGACGGCTTGAAGATGTACTCGATCTCATCGGGGTACTCCTGGAAGATGTCCACCAGGGTCTCGATCGGACGGCAGTAGCTGCGCTGGTAGACTTCCATGAACTTCACCACTGCGTAGGGTCGGGGAGGAGGGAAGGTGGGTGAGCCCACAGGTGCCACCAAAAGTGATCTCTACTCAATTCTGCCAGTTTCCTCCTCCTTGGGGCTTCTGAGGGCTACTCACCACCAAGTCAGTCCTTCCAATATCTAACTGAATGCCCTCCTGCTGCCTGGAAGCCCCTCCCTAAGTGTTCCACCCCTATCATAGGTAAAACTGGTGTTCACTCCACAGACCTCGAGCTATTCAAGGTCCAGGGGAGGTGGCCCGCCACAGCCACATCTGATCCTCTGCTTCAAGGTGACACCAGAGGGCAGTCCGACTATGGGCACACCTGCTGGGGTGGCTCTAAGCTTTGTGGGCCAGGAGGAACAACCAGGTCTGGCAAGCTACTCTGTGCTTTGCCTCAGCCATTGCTATTGGCTAGCATTACTTCCTGAGCACTTACTATGTGCTGGGGTACTGTGTACAGTTGCTCGATACTCCCCACATGGTATTACTTATGTTATGAATGGAGAACTAGAAGCTTAGAGAGACTCAGAGAGGCTCTGAAATCTGCCGAAGGCCACACTGCCAGAGTGACAAACTATTGGGCTTTGACATCAAAGCCTTCCTAAGATGATATCCCGCCCAAGGATAGAAGCTTGAGGAGGCACCTTGCCACCTGCCAGGTTCCCTCTCCAGACCAGGGCTCGGGAGGTATCAACAGGTGAAGGAGGCGGGCACACACCACAGGCCCTGCCAACCACCGATAACCCCGCCCCAGAGGGCAGACTGCTTACATCATGGAAAAAACAGGGCCGCCGCTGCAAGCACCCGCCCAGTGTTTCTAGAAGCTGATCTGGAGAACAGGGTAAAGACAGCTTTCCAGGCTGACCGCAGAGCCTGAGTGCACCAGAGCATGAAAGGGTAATTCTGGGCCACAGGGGTGGGGCCCCTGAGAATAAATAAATGCCGGACTCCAGCAAGACTGCTCCAAACTGCAGGCCCAGCCTGCCACTCCCCATCACACCCCGGCTACTGCCACATAACAAGCCTGTCCCTAAAATGAGTCCCCTGCTCTGGAGACAAGACCAAAAGCCCAGCTGGCCTGGGGGCCCAGGCCCAGGCTGACTAGATGTGACCTTGGGCCTGTCCTGTCTCTGGGCAGCCAGCGCGGCTCATCTAAGCAGGTCAGCCTGATCTCGAAAGACACGGGGAAAAGCTGAGACATGGAGCTTTGTCTCCCATCACCAGGCCTGAGAACAAGAGTTGTCTTATTCTGAGTGACACCAAGTCTGGAAGTTCACCAGGCATTAAATGCACATCCCATACAACTGTAGCCTTCTGAACGCCTAGGGCTGTCACCAAGTTTCCCCCCTGCTCCCCCTGCAAAGTGTGTTTTCTGAAAGTGTGAAGGAAGATCAGAGCCAGGGATATGAATGTAACAGGTTGGTGAGGAGAGACTTGAGGAGTCAAGGAGTGAGGAGAAAGCCACAGAAAGAACAGTGGGACACCCAAGCATTCTTCTCTGCCCTCAAGGGGGTTAAGTCAAAGTAACGCATGATCAAAACACAGTCAATGAGCCCAGAAGGCAAAGTAAAGCATGATCAAAACACAGTCAATGAGCCCAGAAGGCAAAGTCTAAATTGAACAAAATAACAAAACTGAACAAGATAATGAATGCAGAATTCCTGTGTGTGTATGTGCGTGTGTGCACATGCACACACGAACACACACTGGTGCTGGGGCTTGAACTCAGGGCTTGGATGCTCATTGATTCAAAGCTAGTGCTTTTAACGCTTGAGCCACACCTCCACTTCTAGCTTTTTTTTTGTTTTTTTTTTTTTGGTGGTTAATCAGAGATAATCTCACAGACTTTTTCTGCCTGGGCTGGCTTCAAACTGCAATCCTCTGATCAGTAGTGAGGATTTTTAAACTGATATTTCACGACACAGGGACAGAGGTGGTCCATGTTTGTAACCCTACCCAGGAAGACAGCAGAAAGGTCTGGCCTGAGCAATGAATGGGGTTAGGAGTCGAAGATGAAACGATCTGGACTGAGAATTCCTTTTAAAAGCTTCTCCCTAGAATTCCCAAAGCCCAGGGGAAGTGAAGGGGAGCCGCCTGGCCAGCACCGTTCAGGGGCTGCCTCCCGCAGCGAGCAGAGCTGTCCTGGGCCGGGTGCACGCTTACACGCACTCCTCCAACATCAGGCTTCCGTGGTTTTCCTTATTTACGGCAGCCAACCTTTTCTCCAGCAAACAAAGACCATTTGTCTTGCCTCTCCCAGACCACAGAGACCACTGGGAAGCCAAAGGGGGTGGGTGGCACACTGGAGTAGGGAACTGTCCGTGGCACAGGCCAGGGAGTGGCGCAAAGCCAGGCCCTGGGCCAAGGAAAGGGCTCCTGGAGTGGGGGAGGAGGAAGCAGAACCGGCTGGGCATTGCCACCCCTGGCGGCTACTGCAGCCACACTGGATTTGGGTCAGAGAAGCTGCCTACAGGAAGACCCTAGGGCCTTCCTTCCTTAGAGGGCGGGTGGGCAGCCTGGAGGAGTAGCTGCTGGCTGGAGCAGAGGCCACACTCAGTGCTGAGGAGAGCCAGGGCGTCCCCAGAGAAATGGGAGGATCCCCATACTCCAAACCACACTGGAACAAAAGGCAGGCAGAGTCTCGGGTTGGGCAGGGGGGCGGGGCGCATGGGAGATACAGCGCCCTCTGCTGGCCCAGAAGGGAAGTTCACAGCAGCCAAGGCAGTTCACAAGGGCTTTCTCCAATCCCAGAAGAACACAAAATGCCGTGGAGTGGGGGGTGGGAGAGGGTCCCACGGCCCCTTAGGTTATCTGCCTCCCCCTGGTATCTCCAGCTCACAGGGGAAGAGCCACAGACCCCACAGATGGCCCATAGCTGGGTAGGAAATGGCACTGAACATACATCCTCCCTTGGGAGCTCAGGAACAAGGGACACCTCTCTTGACATCTGGAATCCCTGAACACCATACCTCCTGGTTTGTGTTCAATCTCTCTGGAGAAAAGTGTACTTGGCAGAAGTAGAAGGAAAAAAAGCAACAAGTCTGACTTCTAGTAGAGAGCTGAACAGGGAAGAGCTTTAAGAAACAGAGGGTTAACCTGCTGCCCCCCCCCCCCAACTCCTGCATACACACCCAACGACTCACAACTCTGAAAAGAATCAGGTCTCTCCATGCACACTCGGGGGGTGACAGGGGAACCCCCGCCCAACCAAGAACCAGGGGACTCACCTTCACGGGTTTTCTGTTCTTCTGCCATGGGTGCAGCCTGGGACCACTGAGGACAAAACAAAGAGCAAGACGTTGGCATGGGCAGAGACAGGGACGTGAGCAAGGTCGGGGTGCAAGGACCCAGCCTTTGGGTCCCCTTCCCCCTGTGAGCTTCCCTCCCAGGCCCCCAGCTTCTGGCTTTTCCAGGCCTTCTGAGTAGCAAGGGGAATCGTCAGGGGGTCCCTGCAGACCCCGAGTGCTCCCACCACCCGTGGCTTCCTCCACGGTTCAAGCCACAGAAGTTACCAGATGTGGGGCCTCACAGTGCAGGAGGAACACACTAGAATTTTGCACTGTGCAGGTGCCCGTCTCTCCCCCACATTGCTCTCCCTTGCTCTCACTACCACCCCAAGGGCCTGGTCCAAAGCCATGGGTAAGTATTAAGGTCAAATAGGAGGACAAATTTGGACTGGGGCAGGAAGGAAGGACTGGGGGCGAGAAAAACAACATGGTGACCTTCTCCTGCTGACATGACAAATACCAGGGTGAGCTGGTGTCGGGAGGGAGGGGGTGCAGGGGACCGAAGGGCACCGGCCACCCTCCCCCACCCAAACGCTTCCAGTTCTCAGGAGCACACAGCACACCTACAGGTGGCTTACAGGAGTCTGGGAGCAGGGACCAGGGGGAGGGGAGAGTCTCATTTCTTCTCCCGGGAGCCTGGATGCATTTCCAACACCTTGCTGGTCACACACTTCCACCTTGACCCCAACCCCCCCCCCCACCCGGACAGGAACTCCAAGGTGGTCTTTTCCTCCTTATGCTGCCCAGCCCCGGGGTGCCTGTTTTGTCCCAGCCCTTCCCACGATCACCAGATCCCCAAATCTGTGAAGGTCAACAGCACCCCACGTGGACCACACAAGAGTAAGGAGGCAAAGGCTTCCAGCCTTTCCTGAGGGGCCTCACTTCCCAGACACCCCCCCTCCCACACTCCTGCAGCAGACCTCTCAACTTCCCCAGGGAGGAAATCCCAGTCTCCCTCTCTCTCTTTTTCCTCCCCCCCCCACTGCCCCAAGGCAGCCCACCCACGTCCCCCAGCCTTGCCTTGGTGGCCAAGGTCAGAGGAAGTCCCTCTCAAGGAAAGATAACAGTTCCCCCAGCTCCCAGCTGGATGAGGCTCCCCCTGGAGCGCAATCCCCCCCAACCCCCTGGTTTCTCCCCTTCAGCCCCCACCCATCCCCACAATCCAGGCTAACATTCTCTCTAGATCGTCCACTCCTCCAGAGCCCCAGTGAGAAAAGGGAACCGCAACTTTGTGCCCCCTCCCAGGCTGGGGGGGGGGGGGGAACCCACAGGAGGAGCGGTCTAGGCAGGGAGGGGCCAGGTGTCCTTCTCCGGGGGCCTCTGAAGGTCACACTGTGGCCGGCCAGCCACTCCTGCCCCTCCTCCCCTCTGGGAGGCCTCGAGCCAAGGCCCTTTGTGCCAGGGTCTGAGGAACTCGGGTTGCACAGGGACCCCTGCCCATTTCCTTCCTCCTGGTGTCCTCTCCAAGGGGACCCTGCCCTTGTGAGCGGAGGGAGAGGGAGGCTCGGCGG